ATATGGTCAGTGAGGTAGGTATTTCAAATATTTGAAGTGCCGGAGCAAAATCAAAATGCAATAAGCAATTCCAAGTATTCAGTTCCATGACGTCCAGATATTGAATTTCAAAAGAGTTTATAAATACATCAAATGAGCTTCAGACAATTGAAATTAGCTGCCCTGCCATTCCAATGAAGCGTTTAACTCAGTAGCATCTTACCAGTCAACAGCAAGATCATGAGCTCATGTTTACCTTTTCTTACCCTTTCGGTACTTGGATACACTCGTGATTTCAATTAGTAGAAGAAAAAGGCTAAATGACGCATACAATACAAGAAACAATTAATATCTCGCTGAAACTACCAACAAGAGCTTAAGCAGAGTTGGCAGCCACCAAAATGTAACCTAACAGAAAAACCACAGGACAGATGTACATTTCACAGTATCCAGTTAAGAAATTGTTCAATTTAGATGCTTTCTGCACTTTGGAACACATCAAAATAAATATGAGAAACATTAAAACTAATTTATGGACATGGGAACCCAGATCTCCATCACAATTAACTTCAGACCATCCTGATGCTTTTATGACAGACCTAAAACTTTTCCCTACATGTTAGTTAGACACAGGATCACTGACTATAGCCAAGCCAATCAATGAAACATGACATGTGCAAATCACAGGTTAACTCCTCTGACCAACCAACAAGAAGCATGCAATTGACCACTTCCTGCTGTACAGTAAAAGAAAAAGATATACCTCAACCAGATGACGGGCATCAGCAATTTGCCTTTGGGCACATGGATGATCAATGTCAAGAAGGGAAGGCATTCGTTCAACAAGTTCATCTAGAGATGCTAGCATTGCTTTCTTCTTGCTTCTACTCATGCTATTTACAGATGACTGTCTCACAATATCCTGTCCATTTAGTTATGATGTTGATTTCTAAGTATTCTACTGTAACCCTGTCATTAAGTGAACAAATATGAGTTTCAAGAAGAGGTAAAAACCTTCACTTGCTTCAATATCCCATCAAGAGAAATAAGAGAAGCAAGGCGTGCATCTTCTGCTGCAGTAGAAGGACTCCTAACTAGTGATTCACCACTCTCCAGTGTTAGCAAGGCAGCATCAGTTCTCATTTGTTGCAAAATCTGATTATATCATAGATACATCAGAAAAAGTTAACAGTAGTTATATTTATGTCTCAAGGAAAATATTATTTAAGACAATATCAGTGTAATTTTCTTTGTACAAATGCATTTAAACCAGGAAATGTTTTCAACACATTAACGAGACAGGCATGAAAGATAAATATCCATTCTCACCAAAATAACAAGCCAAGGTCAAAGGCAATCATGTAACTCCAAGATACACTAGTTAAAAGTGATTCCATCAATTATGAGAAAATGCCAAGCCATCGTATTAAATAAAAAGAACTCCCATTTGCAGGACAACTATAAGTGACATCTTACAAAGCTGCACTAAATGCCTCACAATTATTGACATCCCTTTCCATTGATAATTAGTCTCTTCAAAGCTATTGTAGATTCTCTTTGAATATCAAGCTGTCATCATTTCCACTAAGGTAACTGATGTAATACTCTGCTGGGGAAGCACTCTTTGCTAATTCCAAATGTCAACAGATTCACGTTCCAATTTAAATTCTGACACCCACTAAAACACTTAACCTCGTAAAGTTGATGTCACCTTGCAAAGTATATCAGACATATGTGCGCCTCATAGAGTATCTGCTGCTAGTAAGGGAAACTTTTCACTACTTCATCCTAGATGTATTACAATAAATTGGACGTCCTTAAAACAATGAATAAGCTTTTACACATTTTATGCTGTTGAATTCATCTTCTTCTTAAAACATTAATAAGTCTTTTCGCATTTTCTCTGCTATAATTCCCAACTTCCTTTCACAAAGAAATATGATTAAAATATAATGATTCTAAGTTAAATATCAGTAAAATGGATTGGTACAGAAATATCCTTAAAACAAGCAAAAAAATATGGTGTGCAGTAAAGAAAATGACAACCTTTCTGCGTTTATGGTCAACAGATTCAAGAGCTGAACGCAGCTTTGCCACTTGGGGTGCATCTTCGGCCATTTCTGTTGCTAAGGTGCCAGCAATATCCTGACAGAAGAAACGTTAGAGGACATTCCACAGACTGCAAAAAAGTGAACATCTCCATGCTGCACCTTATTCACGCTCTAATAACAATTTAAACGATTCTAAGGATTGCAAATTTCAAAATTCCTTTAAACAACACTGTCAGCTACAAAGTCAGGGTAAAAACAAACAAATGCTAGGAAAACCCAAAGAAATTCATAGCAAATATGAAAATTAAATGGTAACCAACTGAAAAAGTCCTTAACTATTGTAGGAGTCAATCATGTAGTTTTCATTTCTATCAGACAAGATAAGTCTACAATTCAACACATACCCATCTCTATCAGTTTCTACAAACCAAACACAAAAACTTCAGGATTTCTCACCATGCTATCTGGGCTGAAGGAATTTAAATAACAGTAACTCATTAAAAACTGTTGGAATTAGTGATGGATTACCATTGTTTCTCATGCAGAAAGGAAAATGGTAATCCCAGAGATCTATGCACAGATACTGTGGGATTTAAGATACTGCTAAGTTTCATTCTGTTAGATTCAGGGACCAGAAAACCATAAACAAAATATGCAAGAAATTTGTAGATAACAACATGGACATGTTATCTTTCCCTCTTCGTCAGAAGTTCTTGCTAGGATCTAAAAGAAAAAAATCAGTTGGTCTTTAATCCATTACTCTCCTAAATAAATGATAATACACTTAACAGGAAAGAAAATAAAGGTCTGACATCTAATGTTGTTAATAGTTCCGACTATTTGGCTGGGATATAGGAATTCCTAATTCATAGAAAGAGAGCACACATATAGAGGTAACACTTGTCCAAGAATCCCTACCCTGATTAGTTCATTCTGAAATTAAAGGAGAGGTGGCTGCTTATGCCGAGGTTTTACAGCATACCTTTAAGTGCTGCAGTTGAGAAGTATAGACCCGCTTTGCATACTCAGATAGAAGCTGACCAAGAGCATCTGTATTGGGAGGCATTGCAGCACCAAGTCCAGCCATCCAACCATCCATGATTGCTGTTGACAGAAGCTCTAGCTGACCAGTGGTCCCCCCAGATGCTTCATCCCCTGTAATAGAGAGAAACTCAAAGTTTTCCGCAAGCCAGGACCTAATTTGCCTCTGCAGCTCACCAGCTGGAGTATGGACAAAGAGAGCAGCAAGAGCCTTGTTTCCAACTGCAAAATTTTTGGCTTCCTCTTGTATTTCCCTTAGTTTTCCACCAGTAACCTGTTGTGGTCTCAAAGTATCCTGTACATATTCGTTTCAATGTCACATTAGAAAAATCTGGATAAAATTTGCCATAAGACATATGAAACTAGAAGGAAGCACTAATACATGATAGAATTGGTATTTATAATATATCACTACTGAGATAAGCAGCATCAACTGTCTGGGTAATATAACAACACTTTCAAAAGTAAAATGGGGAAAATTAATTCCTTCCTGCCATTATTATTGAGTTAGTTGCTTCATTTGAGGGAGCATGTCGCCCTGTGCATTTATTTTTCACCTTTTCTGTTTCTTTTCATCAGTCTTTTCTTTTTCTCGAGGCCAGGGAAGGTTGCTCACCAAACTACCCATAGGAAAGTAATGCATACGAAGAGAATCACCGCTACCTGATCAAGTCCTCGTATTCTTGAAACAACTGATGACAACTTTGACTTCCTTTCTGGCTTTATATTCACCTTAAATCCTTGAATCAGCTCATCAGCATAGCGTATGGGTGATCTTCCAGGGCTGCTTCCTCTGCTGGAGCTTCTGCTGCGTCCAGAATTTGGCCTTTCTAGAAAATATTCAACAGGTGAAACCTAAAAAACAAAGATGCAGATGACTCAGTCTGTACATGCTTAAAGAAGAATTAGCATCCATGTATCATTACCTTGATGGACTGTAGCTCTGGTGATCTAGCAAGCAAAGATCTTATGTACAAAATTCTAACACGAGAAACAAGCATAGTATCCATTACTCTCTTTGGTTCCATTTTACGAATAAAAGAGAAAACTGCATCTCTTATTTCAGCAAGTATTTCATGCTCTCTAGAAGCACCTGCTTTGATGACTGCTGCCAAAACCTGCAACATGGTAAATCAACAGTTCATATCAACTTTTATGTTCTGCTTTTTTTGGCATAAATAATCACCAAAGGATTATAAGCAAGTGAATAAAACTTAGATGCATGTATGAAATTCTATCTCATCATATTACTAGCACCAAATTCGAGTGAGTTGTCTTTGGTTATAAAAATGGGTAATGTGAAAAAAAAAACAGAAAGTGATAGAAAATATGTTCTTGGATTCTAAAACCTATATCTGTATTACCAACCAATTAAAATCTTTATTCGTATCAGCTACTCTAAGATTTTCCAGCAAAAATGAAAAAATCTTTCAGAAATGGCCCTATAACATGTACTATTCTCCCATTAAAATATACTCCTGGTATATTTCTCATAACTATTCATTAGAAAGCCTCAATCAGAAAGCTTAGAGACTTGAATATGTGAGTGAAAAAATAAAAAAAATCATAATCTTGTTTCTGAATGGTCTCATCCATTAGGATAAGAAATAACAGGACCATTTAGTTCATTTCCCCCTATTTTCAAATGGAGAGAACACAACAAGACATTGGCTTATTTATTCTAGTTAACACCAAACATTAAACCAATTGTGAAGCTTACTAGCATCAAAAGCTTGTTTGCTCCATCTGAAATGGCAGCAATGCTGTCATACTGCTCAGGATCAAAGTCATTTAGAGCTGCAGTAAGATATTCTCCAGCTGGTGTGGTTTTGACTTTTTCACTGCCTGATTTAACCAAAGCAACACTGGCCTCAGTCTTATCTGTGGGAAGGGGCAAAGGAAGACCATCCATAGATCTTGCCTTGCCGTTATCATTCCTGTAAATATGATCATAAAGAAGTTCAACAACCAAATATGAGGTATCAAGCATCATGAAAGATGAAACATGAAAAACAATTGAAATACTATGGCATGGACTGATGTTACCACCTCCCGAGGTCCCGAGACTGAATACTTGTGGGTCCTTTAGATAATGGACTTGACATCTGGAAAGAGAGAAAATATAGTTATAAATCTGGAATCACCACTTGGATGGTTAGAAGCATCATCCCTCAAGTAAGAAACCATTTCATAATTCTAGGCATTGCCACAAACACTACCAACAAGACTACATAAAACAGAAGTTTACCATTTACCAAACATAAACACTTGTTTATTGCATATCAAGTGAAGCACTCTAAGAAGCAGAATTAACATTTCAAACAACAGAAATGTATTCCATGAACTTTACCTATCATGTCAAATACCAAATGTAAGTTATATATATAGAATGTGCATAACATTTGTTATCTTGCACAATAAATTGAGAAACACAAGCAGAAACTCATGATGAAGAGTAGTTATCTGTGGCATACATACTAATTAAATGTGACTGAAGCATAAGAAGGGGGGAAAAATACCTGGGGTGATCCAGTTATAGATGCTTTCTCTGTTAATCTATCGAACAATTTCTCATTTTCTTCATGTAATCTCTGCGTATAATCAATAAAACCCTCATAAGCACAAAACTTAACTCCAGGTCAACTGTATATTTTAACTTATTCATCTCTCTTTTGTTTTACACAACTCGGAGTAGGTATTTGTAGCATGGACCCACTCATTTATCTACTCCAACAATTTTGCTCTCTAGGACCATATTACACCAAAAATTATCAGGCATTGTGGTTTTCCTGCCAGCTTATATTTCTCCATGCTTAGCTCTATTTATATAGAATTCGAAGTTACGGCAAAATATGACCAAGTTCTCACAAATGCAATGATATTTAGATTTCTGTTCTCTCAAAACATTCACTTCAGCATCATAATTCAGCCATAGTTATTATAAAAAGAATTTTATCCTCAACTGTTGATTTTTGAATTCTAGTAAATTCACCTTTGATTAATTAATCACATATAAGACTTCAGGACAAGACAAGGTACAATTTAGGTATTCTATCTTCCATGCACAAAATGAGACCTGATTGAAAGCATTTTACAAATTTTTTAGTGAAAGCTTTTAAGAAAGAAAATTCATTTGACAGTAAACCCACTTCATCAGTAAGGAATAAAAACAGACCTCAATTAGTGTATCACGTTTTTTGAGTTCTTCCTCAAGTTTCTTTGTCACTGCAGAAGAATCCATGCTATCCCCTGTTGTTTTAGGCAATGCTCCACGCCCCATTTCTGAGCCAAACAACCTACCTTCACTAGAAAGAAGGGCTCCATTGATTTGTGATTCAAGGCTTTTTATCTTTTCCTGAATCAAGGAGGACCATAAAGTGAGGCTGATATCTCAATAAGAAATTTCTTGATCAGGAGAACAGAATATTGGTTCCGATTTCTGTATCTTTCATGAAAATATAAGTTCAAGAAAACCTTTTCCTGGACTTCAAACATTTCCACTCCAGAAATATATGTTTAGAATTGTAGTAATGCATGTGGAAATGAGTCAAATCACTAATGAGAATCGATAAAATATTAACCTGCAAGGTCTGAATGGTCAAATCTTGCTGTTGCATTTGTATTTTTTGTTCTTGTTCCATCTGCAGTAATTGAGCTACTTGATTTCTAAGCTGTGCATTCTGTTCCTTCTCTATCTTGTACTTGTCAGCAAGCATGATGTTCTCAGACTGCATCAAATAAGAAAAATGCTTCAGCAATTTAGATAACCCAAACTTATTAAAAATAAGAGATAGCTAATAGAACACACACAAAACCAGCAATTATGCATGTATAACTATGATTGAGCCTGCTAGGCCTCATTTGCAAACCCACAATTCAACTAAGGATGGAGCTCTTAAAAGAAATAAAATTTGGATCAAGAGAAATAATAGGCATACAAGTGTAGAGTTAAAAGGAAGAAGTGACAATTCATCCGTTACAATAATACCACCAGGACACGAGCATTTCACACTTGAAAGGGGAGACACATTAAACATAAATGTCACATAAATAATCCTATCTATAACAAAATTACAAATTGTATGTAGATTCTAGAGAGTCATGCGTTAAATATTGACCTTCATCAGATTGCTAGAGGCCTTCAACCAAGAGAAATACAAAAAGGAACACAAAAAAGGAGGGAATAAAATTATGCAGCTAAGAAAACAAATTCTAACAACAAATAGTTGTGGTAGCAAACTGTATATTTAACTCCAATAAAATTTAAAAACAATACCAAACTCAGAAGTTTAGAGAACCTTTAAATCTGACTGTAGCGTAAAGGAAACCTTCCACGCCTTCTGGACTTCATTATAAAGTAGGACACACTGATCGTTTGCATCTTTAAGAGCCTGTTTTAGTCCCATGACCTCTTGTTTCAGATCCTGGGTTTCCTTTTCTTTTTCATACAACTCTTTCCGTGCATCATTTGCCTTCAAGAAAAATCTCTAGCAGTGAGAATACATTACAATGATTGTGCCTCATCATGTACTGATATCAAAGAGTTGAGAACTACAGCATGCATGCAGAACTCAAGCTATCTTATGGACTTCTATAAGAAATTTAAATAATTTCATTCCTGAAAATAAAAGGAAAAGGAACTAAAAGAAGGATCTCAAACCAATCCTGGACTGAATTCTGATTGAGGTACACTAAACTTATTAGTGTTTCATCTGTATAAAACCCTCACAGTTGCCACCTGCCAGAGGGCCTCAGCCATATTCTAGGAATTCAAGATTTTATTCTAGTGATCAGAAAGAGAAATGCCAAACACCTCAACTTAAATATTGTTCTAGCAGAAGTGTTTTTAAATTTTTTTGGAAAACTTTATTCCTTGAAGCTTCTTGTAGCAGAAGGCAGAGAACAAAAAAAACATAACATAGAAATAAACACAAGTTGGAATTAAATTTCTGATGTACCAATGGTTTAGGAATCAATAATAGGTACTTACAATATCTCTCCATTTCTTGATGGTATCTCGATTTCCTAGGCTTAGGACAGCATTTCGAGCTCTTGAAGAGAAATTGAGAGATGATACTGTCTCAGACAAGTTTGCAGCATTAGGGCAGATGTTAGCTATCATCAATGTTTTCGATCTTCCCCCTATAAAAAAGGAAAATTTTCAAAAAAAAAAAAAAAACACTTTGAAAATGAATTCTCAGTTTCAATGGTTAACCCATCACAAGATCGCTCACCAGATGCAAACAGAAAAGGGGAGAGCAAAAACCATGGTGGTAAATTTGGATTACTAGCACAAATAAGGGCAAATAGTCACTCCAAACCACCCATACTAGAAACTTCTGGAAACATGGATAACTTCCAAGCAGCAAAAGATAAGAAAGTTTCTAGTTTTCTTCTTGGAAACTAGGTAATAATGTGCTTTAATTGATTAAGGTAGATATAAAGCAGTAAGGCATCCACAAAAGAAGTAGAAAGACACACCATGTATTGAGTTCAACAAAATCTTCAGAAAGAGATAAGCCAAGATTCTCATAACAAGGCAACAATATCATCATACCTTGGAGAAGTTAGTTGCTTGGCAGCCCAAGGGTTTGAACCCTTGACCAGACCTTAACCCTAAATCAAAGTTTTTAAGTTAACAGGTGCCAACTTGGCCAAGCTTTTGTTGGTACTATATCATCATAGATTACAAGGGTAAATCCTGAAGCTCCTTAAAATAACTGGCACTTTTCTATTTATTTGCCAGGAAAAGAAGATTTCTATGGAGAATTGTTCCCTTATCACTAAGAAAATCTTTTTTGATATTAGTATAAAAAATATTTGATATTAGAGTTTCATAATAACTTTACATAAACAGACGCCATCATTCATACCAAGTGAGTCTGCAAGTAGATTTGTAAGCATTGAATTTCCATAAGGAACAACATCCTTTTTTGAGGTCAAAGAAGATAAAACATCTCCCAACCTGCACATGCAAAAGAAATTTCAATATGAGAGTGGGACAGAATAGCAGATAAATCAAGAATACTGCAACCTGAAATTGGAAGAGCTAAATTTAGCAGAGAATAAATGATATAAGTATACCATCCATGTCCACCAACCATGCCATAAATTTCTCATAGGAAACATTCAGCTCTACTAGATGATTGACCATTTAGGTCTATTTTTACGACCAAGAAAAGCATATGAAAGTCAGTTTGCACAACCAGGAAGTTGAACATGTAGGTATGCACCACATTGCTAACAACAGCACACCAGGGAAAAAGATAATGTGACATACGCTGATAGTGACTTCATAACATGTAGCAAGTCTGTCACACGCTCCCCACTGTCCTCTTCCAGAATTTGACCTTCACTTCCAGCCAAGTCAACGAGTGAAAGTTTGCTATATGAGTTTTCTCCAGTAATCAGATTGTTATAATATATATGCACCATGATGACCCTGACAACAGCAAGCAAGAAACTCACTGAAATTAGATAGATACAGCACTTATACCAATACCAACCATAGACAATTTTTAATGGCCACCAATTTTAGGATCTCCATTCCTTTTATTTTAATAGTGGTGAAAGGTTATCATGTTGCAGGTAATCAATGTTCCATGAAATAGTCAACCAAACAATACCATGTTGGTTAATATACAGACCACAGCCCATTTTAAAATACCAAAATCAAATATATAATTAATATATCCTGATTTTGGCAGTCCGAATAATGGTGATAAAATTAAATGATATATCAAGGATTATAAAAATCAGAAAGCTAAAATAAAAGTAAACATTTGAACACAACATTTAGATTTCTTTTATTCCCTCAAACAAAATCATTGGCTATTTGTCATCTGTTGGGCAAATTTTTTTCCAAGAAGTGTAGTATAACTAATCATGCCAAAGTTGACCATAAAGGCAGCTGGAGTATGAAACCTAAAATTTTCCTAGAATTTATTTAATCACAAAGCCTGCGGATAACATTTTCAAATTTCAATTATGACACAAAGGCTGATGGAAATATAGGATTTAGGCCGTACAGATGTGAAACATTGAACTTTAATATGTCACTTCCACGGGTCTGAAATGCAGCTCTCAAGACTTTAGAGAAGTCCAGTGGGTTATCAACTTTCTCCTGCACAAGTTCTACAGAATGTTCTGGTGAACCAAGGCAGATCTTTGGTAAATTACTCCCTAATTCCAAGAGCAAATCCCTTATCTATAATAACATAAAAGGGTAATAATACTGTCAGTACACTTTATATGAGATCTTGAAATGACCATTTAACAAAAAAAAGAAAAGGAGAAACAAAATTAAAATATTGTAATAATACACAAAGTTAATGAAGCTATGGTAAGTTATAAATATAATAGTACAGAAACCTGTTCATTGTAGAGATCAAAAACTGTAACAGAGAAATTAAATTTAGAGGTAGATGTTGAATCCGAATTCGCTAAATCAAATAGCTCCTCAAAACATCGAGCACATAAACCACGATCATGGCTAGATCCTTCCTGAGACAAATAAGAGCATGTCATAAAAAAAATAAAAAATAAATAAATAAATAAAGCAAAATATATATATATATATATATATATATGAAGAGGCCTAGGTTAGGTGTAAAATGCCAATGGTGCACCTGCAACATTGGCCACCAGAGACCAACGTTAAGGAGATGATCTAGATAATCTAATTTGCTAGCTCTAACTAAGCCTAATCTCAAGAGAAACAATAATCAGATAAGATGATGAGGGTATCCATCCAATCTAAACAATAGTCATTCTTGTATTTCCAAGCATAGCTCTAATGCAAGATAACAGATGGAAATTTAAAGCCTGTAGCCCTGTGAGTTTAGGACAGAAAATCCTTAGCCATTAAAAAATCAAACCAATGCAGCATGCCATGATTGTGTGCATAATGAATTCACATGACATGCAATTGATAAATACAACAGTGTAGAGAGAACAACCATAGTGTGTGTTTTTCCTGAGCGAGTTTGTCCGTAAGCAAATATTGAAACATTATATCCATCCAAAGCTGATTGCACAAATGGCTGAACGTCACTGAAAAGTTCAGCTGCAAAGAAAAGACTGCTTATGAGACACTTAACCAACACGACCACACAAGCACACAACCAAGGTTGAAAATTTTTCTGAAGGCCTTTGGTAAAGCACCTTGCTTGTTCAAAAATGAGTAATATGAATCATAAGCTAACCTTGTCCAACATGAGGTCCATAGACTCTATCAAATTCAAAATCTTTCTTGGGGTTGGAGATTGCATCATCCCCAGTATTGACACGGATAGTGCAATCATCAGGAAATTCAACTATAGAAGGGCCCTCATCTTCAAATAACGGTCTTGCACGACAAAATACCTTTATGCTTCCTGAAATTAAGAATCTAATCTCTCAAACAAAGAGACTGCAACTATAATTTTTTAAATCAAATGAAAATAATATTTGGAAATGCTTTTGTGTGCAAAAGAGTGTCATAAAGAGCTCTGAAAGTGCAAGGTCAGTTAAGATTGGTACCTTTAGCTGTCAATAAGTCATTAAACAACCTTTTCTTCTCATTAATCAGTGGAGATATCCTAGCCTCACTTTCAAGGGCAACTTGATCTGCCATTCGTATTTACATATAAAAATTAAAAATCTGTTAACCAAACACACCAACAAAGAACGTTGCAAAGAAGAAGGCATGACCATTTTAAGGATATAGAAATGTTGCCAAATCTTGAAGATGTAATGTTAACCACAGTCTTTTCCTCTTTTGTTGTTGCTATTTTTTCATGGAATACAAATCTGATATTCCTCAAAAATTATAACTAAAATACAAACTAGGGTAAAAAAGGTCCAAACCATCAACCTCTAGCAAACCAAAATCAGTTTATTACCTAGCTTGCGGCTTTTCTCAGCAAGAACACCTAGATAACGCGTAACTCGATCAAGTTTTGCATTAGAGTATTCCTGCAGATCACTTGCTTCTTGTCTCAACTCCAAGTAATCTTCTTTTGCAAGCTGTCAGAAAATGTGATATGGTTGCTATCAAACACATAAACTACCTTTGGATAACCAGAATCAGAATGCACTTAACAAATCAATTAATCATCATATCTGAAAGCATCAACATGACCCCAGAAAATATCAAATCAAATTTTAGAGAAGGAAAAAGAAAAGGTTTAACATCTCTTAAAGAGATTCTCATTCACTTGAAACTCTTGATCCTCCTAGCAAGAAAGAGAACTAATAATATCTCAAAAGTATTATACAAGCTAATATGATTTCCACCCCGAACAGAGACATCAGTGTCGCATTCAGGTAAATGCATGCAAAATTCCAAAAGCGACATTTAATATCCACTTTCAACGGCCCTCAATTTCAACTCCAAAACAGAGAGATACAAAATCTTGACAGAAAACAAAGTACCAGTTTTTGGCCAAAAAAAAATATAGTCTTTGTAGGATTGGCAGGTAATCCTGTTAGTATTCAGTACCTTCAAATTATGTTAACATTTCGCATTCTTAGGTTCTTGGATGTTGATAAAATTTCCAACTATAAAATCCTAAAAGAAAAGCAGCTCTTTAATTCTTTTTGCCTGCCTAATAAGCGGAAAGCATGCTTTACTCAATATTACTAAACCCACGGTAGTCAATTCACCCCTTTAAGAGATGAATTTGGAAAACTGGACTTGAAAAATGCAATGAAAATCCGTGAATGCAGGTACAAGATAAAAGGGAAAATTTTCTCCCTTTATGAATCCAAAATAGAAGGAGGAGATAAGCATGCAGAAATTGAAATTCAATGAAACGAAACTTGGTTTTCCCCTCAAAATTAATACAAAAAGGGCCAACTTCCATGACTATCAAGAAAGGAACTTTGCATGTAAGAAGTAGAAATAGCTGAAACTTGCACATTATTTTTCACAAATATATATATATATCCACAGCTTTCTAACTAATTCATTGCAACTAAAATATAAACACATTGTAGCTAATTCGTTTATATAGCCATCACTGATCAACTCAAAAGCTGATTCAGCTCACCTTAATTTCATCCTGCAACCGGTTCACCTTAGACGCCAACGCCTGCTTCTGAAACTCTAGAGAATGCGGCGACGAGATCGAGTACCGTCTGACGAGAGGCGCACCCGCCCGCCGCTCATCGGGAGGTGGCGAGGACAACCGTCTAGGCTCAAACCCAGTCACCTCCCAGTTCCATCTATTGTTACTCCTCTGCTCCCCCATCACACAAACCCTAGCTCAAGATCCAAATCCACCACCTCCTCCTCCGATTGCGAACCAAAAATCCAAAAAATAGAAATAAAAATAAAAATTTGAAAAAATAAAATCAAAATTCGAAAGCCAGAAAGTGAATTCTTTTTGGATGGCTGAGGCGGAGTTATTTTCCCTCTAGGCTGGGGATTAAAAATGACGGGATGTGGAGTGGGACGGTGTCGTTTTCGGGGATTTAATATTGGGGAGGTGGGGGAAATTTAGACACCCTGCGTGATTCTGGGACACACGAATCGTGCGCTGCGAATTGGTTCCAAACTCGCTCTCACGAGAGTCTGTCCTTTTCTGGGTTTTTATCTGCTGAGGGCAGATCGATTTTTGTTCTTGCAGAAACACTCCTACGAATTAGTACGTGCGAAGGTTTTTTTTTTTTTTCTTGGAGTGTTAGGATGGAATTTTTTTTTATTAATATCTTGATATTAAGAAGTTATATTGAATGTTAATTAATTTAAAATCGAATTGAATCAAATCTAATATATGAAAAAAAAAAAATTAGTGTTTATTTTTTTATTTATAAAATTTAAATTTAATATTTTATTTAAAAAAAATTAAACTTTTATTATTTAAACCAATACCAATAAATTGTTAGTGTTAAAGTGAGATTTTAACCTTTACTATCAAATTATATGTATGAGAAGTACGTTGTAAAGAGGGATGAAATCACAAGAACGTCCTAACGTACAAAGATTTTTTAAATTTAGATGATGATGAAAAGAGCAATAATTGGGAGGTGGAAAATTTAGAATGAAAATCTAAGGTTAGCAATGTGATTTATGTTATATTATTAAATTATTTATTATATATAATATTTTAATTAAATTTTTTTTAATTTATTAAATAATATAAAGTTTATTTTTTAATAATTTAAATAATATAATTTTAACCTTAAATTTTGTTTCATTTATTATTATTTTTTCCATGAAATTTTTTTAAATAAAATTTCATTTTCGAATGAGAATGTAAAAAAGATTTTTTT